CCAAGTGTCAGTGACCCAAATAAAACGTTACCTTATTCATCAAGTTGCTCAAGCCTTTGTTAGATGACCAAAATGACCAAAAAGCTAAGCTAAGAAATTGTGTGAAGTAATTTGACTGAAATTTTTGTATACGTGACGCTACAATATAATTTATTCGTTTCTGAGTGAAGTCTGATGCATTGAAGAATATAAACGTCGGACAAAATAGAGTTTAGTGACCACGGTTTCAAATTCAATGAAGGCTCCACGTTGAGTTTCATCAAATCCAATAGGAGATTGTTCATGCACACCACATATTTTTATTTGATACAAATTTTTACAAAACAGAATTTCAATTATCCAAAATATTGACAACTTTCAATAAAACAAAACAGAGTTTTTTTTTTCTTGGTATGAACAAAACAGAGTTTTAGGTAAAATTTCCCTCTAATAAAGAATAGAATGATATAAAATGATTTTGAAATGGAAATTTAGGGAATAAAAAAAAAAAAAATTGAATGTGTGTTGGGGTCTTTAAAGAAAAATATAAACCTTTTCAGACCCATAAGCTGGAGGCAACAGAGCTGAGCTTCTTCTTTGTCTCCTCTGCCATGTTCTTCAATGATGACATGTCTTGTTGAGCCTGACACATTTATCAAACGACCATAGTTTCATTACTTGATAGTACTAACAAAAAGTGTGTTGTTTTATGTAATAAGAATGACAAGTGAGGCGAGACCTGGAGAGAGAGGCGGTTGAGAAGATCACCGGCGGAGAGATCCAGAGGAAAATCTCCGTCACCGTCTCCAAACAGATCAGCACTAGAGATTGCTGATGAACCCTGTTTTGTAATGTGAAAATTGTTGTTAATTTGTAGTGATGAGTGTTTCTTTTAAACCAAGAGAAAACAAGTTTTTAGGTAATGCAAATGTGGTTGATCAAGAGGGAACGTACGGAGAACTTCTTTAATGTAGTTTTAGCCTCAAGATCCGCGGCGTTGTTGTCATTTCCGAAGTACTGAGCAGAGGATATCGATTTCGCGTTTGTGAATTTCTTCCGAGCTTCATCTGTTTCTTGAACCTGGTAGTTGCTTGAGAGGGTTAGTACAAAAGCATCTGCACAAATCTTCATACAGCTTAATAAGATAAATGACATGGGAGGGAGAAGAAGGAAGGAGCTCATTTTGCACTTTTGAGGAACTTGTCATTGGTTTCTTCTGAAACCCGCCTCCATTCATCTCGAATTCTTCGAAGAAGCCCGTTGATTTTGGTGGAGCTACATGACTAACCACTTGAGGGCCGTTGCTCATGTACTGTTCTCTAGTTTGAACACCGTCCACGTAATCAAACCGAGAGGAAAACGAAGAACTGGCTGATTTAGCTGATGGTGTACTATTAGCTGAGGAAATCGCCGGTATAACAATAGATTCCTCTGGCTTTTGATCATAAAGAGTCTCGCTCGACTGCAAATTTCCCAAAACTTCTAATATAAGTTCTCCAAACCCAAAAATGCTCCCGTCATAATAGGTCCGGCACTTTAGATAGCGGTTTTAAAAAATGCTATTGAGATATGATGGATCTGTCTACAGGCTCTATAAAAAAAAAAAACTCAAAGGCATTACTGACCTTAGTAGTTAGCTTTCGAGCGCCAAGTCCCCCAGTTTTACCTGTCTTCTTTGCACCAAGAGGTTTCTTAACAGACCGAGCAACTCTCGGCGACTCGGGCTTTTCTTGCTGCTTTAGAGTATTAGTCTCTTTAGAAGCTTCACTAGTTTTGATGGTGGAGAGACCATTGGGGAGGACTAGTTGTGTTGGATGAGTAGAATCAGGAGATGGAGGCAAATCCAATTCCTCAGCGTTACTTTTAGCAATTTCTTTAGCGAGAATCTGTTTATACAACTCAGCAGCTCTCGAAGTATACTTAGCCTCGGTTTTACTTCCTCCGCTCCATCCGTGCTGCTTGAAGAAGATTTGTGCCCTGCAGTTTCCTCCATACACCATCATCTTCAACTGCTCAGGGCTCCATGAGTCCAAATTGGTAGACCTAAATCAAAAATCAAGATTTATATATAACACTCCACAATCAAAACTAGTCTAGAAAAATCAATTCCATGATTCATATAACCAGATTGTTACTAAAAAAACTAATAGACAAAGCCTAGAGGTCACAAGA